GAACAAAAAGGGTGCAGACGAGGCCACATGGGGTGCATGGAACAATTAATTATAGATTCAATAGTTCACAAACATGCTGCCACAAAAAATGGAAACCTTCATTGTACCTACATAGATTACATAAAAGCTTTTGATAGTATTTCACACTCTTGGTTAATTCAAGTATTACGAATATACAAAATAAACTCAAAAATAATAGACTTCTTACATCATATTATGTCCCGCTGGAAAACTACACTCCAATTGAATTACCACGACAATATCGTAAGAACTCGGCAGATATTTATTAGGAAAGGTATTTATCAAGGTGACTCCCTGAGTCCTCTATGGTTCTGCCTCGCACTGAACCCTCTATCTCACCCACTGCATCAGTGCCAAGCCGGATATATACTCAAACACAACACCACAGAAGATATCACTATCTCACACCTCATATATATGGATGACATTAAATTATACTCAAAAACAGAAAAAGAAATGAAAAAATTAATAGACACTATAACAGAATTTAGTAAAGACATCAACATGCAGTTTGGACTAGATAAATGCAAAACACTACACATAATAAGAGGAAAAATAAAACAAGGCGACTATACAATTAACACTACTGATACAATCACTGCTATGGAACCGAAAGATCTATATAAATATTTAGTATACAAACAACTCAAAGGACTAGACCATACAGCAATTAAACACACACTGAATACGGAATATAAACGGAGAGTAACCGCAGTATGCAAAACACATCTCGCCGGAAAACATCTAATTAAAGCATTAAATATCTACGCGATCCCAATATTAACCTACTCGTTTGTAGTGATTAAATGGTATAAAAATGACATGCAGCAAATAGAGAGAACCACACGCACCACACTTACAAAACACAATAATCTACACCCTAAATCTAAAGACTCACAATAAAACGACAAAATGGAGGGAGAGGCCTAATAGACATTCATCACCTTTGGCAGAAACAAATTAGTAGCCTCAAAACATTCTTTCACAATTAATCTCACACTAGTGACATCCATAAAGCCGTAGCCCTAAATGATTTTAACTACACTCCACTTAACCTAAATGAACAAACAGATACACATAACAATAACACTAATGACCCACAAAAACAAAAGTTAGAGGACTGGAAAAAGAAAGTCCTACACGGACGACACCCACATGATCTGGAACAACCACATGTAGATTCAGTAGCATCAAATAAATGGCTTAAAATTGGCAACCTTTTCCCGGAAACTGAAGGGTTTATCATCGCTATACAAGACCAGATCATCAACACTAAAAACTACAGGAAATATGTCATTAAAGACCCCACAGTAACCAACGACAAATGCCGTAAGTGCTTCACCCAACCAGAGACAATACAACACATAACAGGGGCATGTACAACTCTCACACAGACAGACTACACTCACAGACACAACCAAGTAGCAAACATCATTCATCAAAAACTAGCACTCAAATATAATCTTATACAAGACACAAACACACCCTACTACAAATATACGCCACACACAGTTTTAGAAAATCCTACACACTAACTCTACTACAAACGCGCCATACTTACCGATAGGACCATTCACTATAATAGACCAGACATAACACTACACGATAAAGTAAGTGTAAACCTATTAGTAAACCTAATAGATATTGCAATACCCAACACACATAACTTACAAAAAACAATAGGCGAGAAGATAAGCAAATATGCAGAGCTTAAAGAAGAAGTGACCAGAATTTGGAGATAAAATAAAGTTTATATAGTACCCATAGTCGTCTCCACCACGAGCGTTATACCCAACCATCTCCACCATAGCCACAAATTAATAGACCTGAAAGACTCAACATATATTATACTCCAAAAAGCCGCAATTTTAAATACCTGTCGAATTGTAAGAAAATTCATGCAATTGGAAGAAAATGAAATAGTTACCCAGAACACACAACCTACATAAACACTCAGTCCATGCTGCATTTACTTGGCTTCGGACCGTATGTGCAGTAAAAACTAGCCAAGGAGCTAAGAAACAGAAATGTTTTCCCTATCATAATAATAATAATAATCAATCAATCTTTATTCAGGCAAATTACACCCATATCCAATAAAATCAATGAATTTAAAATCAGTCTCCAAAATTTTTGCAATAAATAAATCAATGTCAATACAAAATAACAGTTTTAAAATAATAAATCCAGTCAATGTAAATAGGCAGTAATATCAGTACATAAATAATATAATGAGATGAAATAAAATAAAATTAAAATTAATAAATAAGTGACAGAATTACACACAATTATCAGTCAAGAGAGGAGATCAATAATTCAAACTTTTTCTGAGACAACTGTGCTGGAATAAATGAATTCAAAATCAATCTACATAATTTTTTAGCAATACAATACATAAATCAATGTCAACAAAATAAAAATCTTAAAATAATAAAGCCAGTCAATTTCATTAAACAGTAATGTGAATATATAAAATAATATAATGAAATAAAATAAAATTAATACATATACATACATACATATATAATAACTAAGATGGAATGCCTCTTTTCCAGTAAAGTGGGTCTCCGGATTTCTACACTCACCATACGAAACACAGCAGTGTCAAGCTGCCATTTTAAGTTGATATTCTGTGAGAGCGTGGCCCTTTTCCGGTCGATCCGACCCATTCGTGCTACATCTATACTACTAATATAGCTGCAGCATGGATCTACTACGTAAAATAACTACTACTACTGAACTACTGTTGAACATCTCTCCCATAGATTGTCTCTTAGGGAGGATTTTGCCGTAGTTGCCACACTTGGCAGGAGGGTTGTTAACCGCAGCTTTTTATATTTTGTTGTTATTAGGAAGACGTTGCTATCCATTGCATGGTTTGTTTCTAGTGTAGTAGTGTGGTAGTGGATATTCTTACGCCATCACTACACGGTTAACCGTTACTGGTACAGTTACACATAATTTTCCTGATTCTACCCCATCTTTACTTGACTTAATTATTGTGTCCTCGCCTGATTTTGTTTAGAAGCAGAGCCGACCTCTTATTCCTTACATACAAAGTTCGTCCTCCTAAAGTAAAATCGATAATCCTTCTGCAACGTAATTTTAGTGGAATGGACAAAGAACGTCTTATGCTCTTCTTTTGGGCTGGGCCGCTGTGGCAAATGCCACTACGGCCGATACGAAAGTTGAGTTGTTCAACTCTTTTCTCATACAACTGTATGACGTTTCTGCTCCAGTAAAACCTATAAAGATGATGCCTGCGCCATGGCTGACTGATGACCTTAAATCATATTTTCAAAAAGGCTTCGCGAAAAGCAAACTCAAGGCCGATAGATCTGAAAAAAATCTGCAAAACTACAAAACAGTTCGAAATCGCTGTAATACATTGTGTAGAGATGCACAACGACGCCAAATATCTAGATAGAAATTGACTTTTGAATCCTGTTCAATCCAGTTTCCGGTCGGGCCGTAAAAGGACTACAGCTCTGGTTTAAGTTCCTGACGATATTTGACGAGGTATGGATAATAAACAGCTCACTGTATTGGTATTATTAGATTTCAGCAATGCCTTCAATACTGTTGATTTTAATATCTTGTTGATTCTGTTACGTTCCATTAACATATTACCATCAGTGGTTGGATGGTTTCAAAGTTATTTAAGGGGCCGACGGCAGCGTATTTGTATTGAAGATAAATTTTAATTTTGGTGTGAACAGCGAGCTGGAGTGCCTCAAGGTGGTGTGTTTTCACCTTTACTCTTTGCTATCTACATTTATTCGATCTGTCACAAAATTTCTTCTCTCTATTCACATGTATGCAGACGATCTTCAAGTGTATACGCAGTCAACTCTTGAGAATTTTCCTACCGCTGTTTCTGCCATCAATGCTGACCTGGCGGCTATTAGCGAATGGAGTAAGTGCTATGGGTTTAAGGTTAATTCTTGTAAGTCTCAGGCTATTATTGTTGGTGGTGATGGCATGATTTCAAGAGTTGACTGGAATAACTTTCCCTTGGTTGTATTGAATGGTGTTGTAATACTTTACAGTAGCACCGTTAAAAACGTGGTATCCAATTTGATGCTACTTTCTCGTGGTCTCATCAATTGAAAGAAGTTAGCACAAATACTTTTGCTGCAATGGGCTTATTGCGGCGTTTACGTTCTTTCCTTCCCATTCCTACTAAAATTATGTTAGCACAATCTTTACTCTTCTCTATTCTCGATTAGGCGGGTGCAATCTATCTTGATTTAGCTGAAGATCTACTAAACAAACTTGGGCGTATTCAAAATCTTGATATTAGATTCATATTTGGTTTGTGCAAATATGACCATGTCTCCGAATTTCGTTTAAAGCTCAAGTGGTTATCCATTCGCCTTCGCCGGAATCTACAAATTGTTTTTCTTCTGTACTGTATATTATTCAATCCAATGACTCCTAACTATCTGAAGGGAAACTTTATGTTTCTTGGTCATGACAGACCGGACAGAGTTTTACGGTCAGCCGGAAAACTTATACTCGCGCCACATTTTTATCGAACTAAATACTTTAAGAATTCCTTCACACTCAATGCCATCTGCTTATGGAATGATCTCCCTCCGCAAATTCGTTGTGCGAAAACATTAGAAAAGTTTAAGACTGACGTCAAAAATTACTACCTAACAGTGTAATAACTATTACAATAATATACTATTTACGACATATATTTTTTGTATCCTGTCTGTATTTATTTATTTAATTTATATGTATATTTGCCTGTTTAATCTTATGTATGTCTATTATATTTTGAATGTATATATTAGTGTATTAAATATTTCGTAGTAATGTATCAGTTTTGTTTAGTTAGGTATTAGTTTGTAAGTTTACTAGTGGGTGATTCAAGTAGAGATACTTTTTTCAATAGCTTTTTTTGACAGATCACGTGTGAGTCATGTCATGCTGTCATGCTATTTTTGTATAGTATTGTTTGGCATTTCATAATGGAAAGACTTACACCTGAAGAACGTTTAAAAACCGTTCAATTTTATTACGAAAATTCACGTTCTGTGAAGAATGTGTTTCATGCACTTCGCTCAACATATGGTCAACATAATCAGCCTACTGAGCATACTATTCACAACACCATCACCCATTTTGAGACCCAGCATTCATTATTGGATAATATTCGACCGAATAGACCACGTCTAGCACGCTGTGAAGAAAATATAGCGGCAGTAGCTCAGAGTGTACAGGAAGACCGCGGAGAGTCAATTCGGTGCCGTTTGTAGCAACTCGGACTGACGTATGGTACGACTTAGCGCATTTTACGTCGACGTCTTAAATTGAAAGCGTACAAAATACAGCTTGTGGAACAACTGAAGCCGCTCGACCTTCCTAAGCGACATCGTTGCGCTCTATGGGCTCTTGAAAAGTTCCAAGAAGATCCGACGTTTTCGAGGCAAATTTTGTTTAGCGATGATACCCATTTCAGGCTCAATGAGTATATAAACAAACAAAATTGCCGCATTTGAGACGAAGAACAACCTGAAGAGATTCAAGAACTGCCACTTTATCCAAAAAAACAACGGTTAGTTGTGGTTTGTGGGCCGGTGGAATTATCGGTCCATATTTCTTTAAAAATGATACCGGTGCGAACGTAACTGTCAATGGCGACCGTAATCGTGCCATGATAACCGACTATTTGATGCCTGAAATTGTAGCTCGTGATCTCGGCGCCATTTGGTTTCAGCAAGACGGTGCTACTTCCCACACATCGCATCAATCAATGGATTTATTGACAGAATATTTCGGTGAGCACATAATTTCACGTTTTGGGCCGGTCGATTGGCCACCAACATCGTGTGATATCACACCGTTAGAATTTTTCCTGTAAGGATATGTAAAGTCTAAAGTTTATGCAGACAAACCCGCTTCGATTCAGGCCTTGGAGGAAAACATCACGCGTATCATTCGCCAGTTACCAGTCGACATGCTCGAACGAGTCATCGAAAATTGGACTCTACGGATGGACCATCTACGACGTAGCAACGGCTAACATTTGACATAATCTTGAAAAAATAAATGCCAAAATGTTCTTTGAAATGATAATAAACATTCTCCATTAAATTTAAATTTTCTGTGTTTTTTTCTTTAAAAAAGTAGGGAACTTTGAAATGGATCACGCCTTATAATATACACTATCTCCAACTGTCCAATAGTCCAATTTTCTAATAATCTTAAGGTTGTCTGGAAGAGATCGCTTTTTAGCGATAACACCGCCTTATTGTACCTACCTCTTAAGTTTTACTCCTTGTAATTTGATTTGTTTTTTTTTCGCTTTTTGTTGTGTACAATCAAGTATTAATAATATTAATACATATATACTTATACACACACACACCTATATATATATATATATATATATATATATATATATATATATATATATATATATAATGAAGGTGTCACTGTGTGTGATGTGTTATTTCTCCGAACTTAATTATAGTCTATTTAAAGACCGAATAAGTTTTCTTTATTGAATTTAACGTGATAGAGCTTCTCCGACTAAATTATGGAACGATTGGATCAGTTCGACCGATGAAGGACCACGTTATCACAGAATACCAGCACAAAATAGCAGTTTTATGCTGCTGTGTTTCGTATAGTGAGACTAGAGAACTGGAGACCCCTTTAACTGAAAACTAGGCATTCCATCTTAGTCCTCCAGTAGATATAGATGTCTATGAACCAGAAAATCCATCTACCATCAGGTATACTATGTACTTGTTTGTTACCCTCATCTTATAAACAAAAAACACAAATTTGTAATAAAATATTTTAATATTAAATTAAATAAATAGAATATGACTTTCATGTTTAAACATACAGTTTATTTTTCATTATAAAGCTATTTACAAAAGCTGGTACACACCGTTCCCTTGGGATAAACCCATAATCCATCAATCTATTGTTTAATGCATTAAAAGTTTACCGATCTCCCTTTTTCAAAGAAGAGGGCTTCCATATTTAAACAAAAGCTCGGAAAGCTTATCGGAAACGACGATATTTTTTCTGTTCATATTTTGGCTGTTCAACCACAGAACATTATCACAGACAAGCTATTTGAAATTATTGTTTGTATAATAATTAAAAAAGTTTTTATTGTTATTGCAATATATCTCTGTTAGTTTGTAAAAGCCATAATTATGTCAGTTAATTATTTTTGCTTTCTATCCTAGTTTAGATTAATTGAGCTTGATTTTTTTATCATCAAATTTATTATTCTTGAGATAAGTGTGTCCCCTTATGCAGAACGGTCAAATTAAGTGTTTGATAGCATGCTACTAGTTGTATCTAACTCATCATATTAAATATCGTCATTACAGCGATTCACAAGTCCACCGTTGAACATAGACAAATTTTAAAGTACATAACTGCGACTAAAGCAATTTATTTATATCTGGCTAACTTATCACTAGTATTACAAAAAAGTTTTCATACCCGAATATTAAGTAATAATCAGCATTATACATATATAATATAATGCCAACCTTGGAAAGACTAGAAAGATACTCTAATAGTTATTCCACTGAATTATCGAGGCATAACACAAAGACCACCCGAATAAATTATACAACTGGTAATATTAAAATTTTACAGTTTACTTCCCTCAATTTATTTCAAATTAACCATAATGAAAATGGGACATAATTATCGTGTATTTCGCTAATGAGTATGGAATAAACAAACAATGATATAAACATGTGCGATACGAACCCCTACCGCAACCACAGCAGTGGTCGCTGCCTCCTATTTTATACATGTTATTACTGATGCCGTTAATTTGAAACCTCATTAAAGCATCCTAATGAGTTTTAAATTTTTTAATTCACTACATTACATCTTGATTCAAATATATTTTATTCCGTACTTGACAGAAGAAAACTTTAATTTTAAGCTTCTTTTGTTACATGATATAGTGTGTTTAATCGTTCTTGTGACGACAAGTGAGCAATTTTGATTTATTTTTAAATCTTATTAGGTATTATTTAAAAGATATATATAAAAGATAAACTAACCCAATATTAGTTAGTCAGTTATAAAATTAAATGGGGATTTGTTTGACTTTTTATTTTTTCATACAATTAATAATATTTACTTTAGTTTTAAAAGCACTTAAATCTTAAATCAAATTCAGAAGGTAACTTATACTAAGGAACAAGTAAATTTACATTTAAATAAATAATGAATAGAAAATATGTATATTTCCTAGAATTTTAATAAAATTCTTCATATATTGAATTGCAGGCCTCACTCACTGATTCATCACAATCCAACCCAAACCCTTACATCTAGAATTGTTTAAGCAGAAACATTATGATAGAACCATCAATATATTTTACTAACATAATGTTACGTTAGTCAGAATCTACATCAATTTATCACAAACATTTACCTGCATGACTTTAATACTAGAAAATACCGGTGAGACACCTAACCCATAGCTGATTTCTTATATTTACGCGAACACTACACATTGAATAAATCTATTTTTACGGATGTTATCGCGTTTAATTAACTTATTTTATATACCCGACGTTTCGGTTGCTTTCCAGCTTCCGTGGTCACGGGGGACTGAGGTGATTGACGTCTCGCCGTCAGTGCTAAACCGGAGTACCTTCAGCTGTTTTAATTAATAATTTTGGTCCGATCTACGCAGAATGAACTAACTGTGTCTTGAAGTCTTGCAGTGGTATGCTTGGGTTTAGTTTTAATTTTATGAATTACAGGATCCCAAGCAGGTGGTAGTACCCAGCCTCCCTCTCTATTGAAATTAGGATGTTTTTTAATTTCAATAGCTTCACGTATCATCCTTGGCTGGAATCGATGTTCTTTCGCGAGAATTTGTGGTTTATCAAATCTAATATAATGGCGGGGGCCGTCTAGGATATGATCACAAACTGCAAACTTCCCGGAACGTTGGTGCTTCACGTCAGCTATGTGTTCTTTCAAACGGGTTTTTATAGATCGTTTTGTTGATCGTTTGTCAAGAACCACTTGAAGCAAATCGGGAAGTAAAACAACTTGAACGATGGGTACCTCATGAATTGAGTGAATCGAACTTGCAAACACGTGTCGACTGCTGTGTTACTTTGCTCAACCGACACAATAATGAAGGGATTTTAAATCGAATCATTACTTTTGATGAAAATTGGATACGGTACGATAATTGGAAGTGCTCGTCGCAATGGCTGAACCCTGGAGACCCAGTAAAATCCTGCCCTAAGCGAAAATTTACTCAGAAAAAGTTACTTGTGAGTGTTTGGTGGACTAGCGCCGGTTTCGTTCACTACGGCTTTCTAAAATCTGGCCAAACGATTACGGCAGATATCTGTTGTCAGCAACTGCAAACCATGAAGGAAGAACTAGCTGCTAAATAACCGATATTGGTCAATCGCTCTAGGCCACTGCTGCTTCACGACAATGCAAGACCACACACTGCACAACAAACAACCACTAAGTTAGCTGAGCTACAATTGGAATGTCTGCGACATCCACCGTACTTCCCGGACTTTGCTCCAACAGATTACCATTTTTTCCGGAATTTGGACAACTTCTTACACGGGGAAAAAATTCAACTCCGATGCGGTAGGCCAAACCGCCTTCAAGGAGTTTATTGATTCTCGTCCCCATGGTTTTATTAGTAAAGGGATAAATGAACTACCTATGCGATAGCAAAAGTGCATAGATAACAACGGTGCATACTTTGATTAATTAAATATATTTTACAAAATAGAAATTAATTTTATATTCCTCCCGTACAAAATGCCCATTTCATATCATACCTAATATATTATATTATTATGAACCTCTTCCATAGTAGGGTAGGATACACTACATGTTTCCCAAGTGGATTGTTGACCGTTTTACCATGTCTTGCACCTTTGTGGTTACTTTCCTTTGCCATTAATAGGCCATGAGAGATTTTCCGGCACTTCCCATTGTCATTTCTGATAACACCAATGAGATATATTGGGGGTGATGGATTATCTTACATCGCTACCACATGGCAAAATAAATACGATTTACATACATCACAATTTACATACGATTAGAAATACGAGTACAAAATTTATAATTTCTGAAAAAAAAATGTTACTTCATTACATTTTTAATCTTAACGGGTCCATTTTTTTTGTTTTTGTTTTTCATTAAAGTAAATATTACATGGATTTTCTTCTATATTGTGGATGCGTTTCAAAACGTCGCCGAGTACCGGAACAAATTT